TATTTTATGAAACCATGAAACAGGAAACAGGGATACGGAGATATTTAATTTTGTGCTGGTGAGGGAGCGGTAGAGATAAGAGATTTCTCTGACGAATAAAATCATCAAATTTTCGGTTCTTATACGAAGCCTTCGTAATAGTTGCTTTAAAGGAAGATTCTTGTCGTAATTATTCGCTGGTTTATATGTTATATGATGGTTTTATTGACTATTATATTATGTCGGTTCCGCTTAAGAAAACAATAATCTTGACTTTGCGGGGGCTCGCTTCAACTGAGTTCGTTAAACGGTGGGCGTTTTTAAAGATAACACTAGTAGTAATTGAGCTTTCCCGACAACTTCCTTTGTTAAACCTATACATCAAGTCAACCGCCATGATTTATTATGTCTAGTTTACAGAATGAGTGGATTTTTCTGTAATATTCGTGAAGGAGAACAGACTACGTTTGTTAGTTTAGTTCTAAATGTCCTTTACAAAGGTGAAAAGGAGGGGCCATCGTATTTCTTGGAATGAAGTAAGGAACGGGGACAAACTTGAAATTTCTCTACTAAACCGTTTCTTATAAAGATCATGTTACCTTCCTGAAGCGAGAAACCTCTCGCATCGCGTGATATTAGGACAACTTACATAAAGGTCTTGGATCAATTGGTTGTCTGTCGCGTTCAGAATATTATTACCAGATGAAAGTGTGGTTGGAAAGGTTTATAATGAAAATCGAGAGCAGCCTCAATAACAAAGTTTGTTAATCTAATTATTAAGAGCTCCGAGCTTTTTCGAAAGAGGCTCCAATCTGTCTCCTTCTTTTACCATACAAGATCCTACAAGCTCGAGGAAAAAGTGGAAACAAGTATCCAAAAATTACCTCAGCTCTTAAGAAAAAGAATACTAGAAGAAAAGAGGACAGGGTATAAACGAAAAGACGGCGGAGATATAGGTGGAACGAAAGAGAGAGCGAAACAGTCTGTCTACTGAGTTGATTGATAAAAACGATAATGAATTCCGGTTTAATTTGCCGAAGGGCTCGCGGTTATTTAAATCGACATCGAAACTGGAACACCCGCTGCCTTGAAATGGAATACTATCCTTCAAACACTTCCTACGGTGGACTAACAGGCATGGGAAGCTAATAAATATTTTCGTAGTGTTGAAAGGCAGCTGTAATTTAAAGATCAGTATCCTGAAATACTTACCAAGATGACTGTTGTGGTGCTAAAATTGCCCTTCGGCCACGCTAAATATAAATTCATTTCGTATCCAATTACCAACAGAATCTTCTTCAAGATTAATTGGATTCAAGTATGCGGTCTTTATTCCTTTCGCCTCTAATTTCAGGTCCTTCTCTCGCAGCGTGATAAGTCGCGTATCACTTTCAAGACTTAACTGGAATGTTCGAGTAGGCGCATTATGCTTCTTACCCTTAAGACAAATAAAATCAAACAGACACAACACAAACGGAACTAAAAATAAAAGGAAATTTAACATCAAAATTGAAGTTCGAAAAATGGCTCATTACAGTTAAATTGCAAGCAGTTTTGGCTCATGTAAGAGTAAGCAATCCTTTTTCAGGTATGTCTTTCGTTTTCAATCATCTTTTCTTTCGGAAATATTTATCATTCTCTACCCGTCATTTAATTATTTTTTTATCAGTCGATAAACGTTCGTACTTGTGATAAGATGAAGTACTACACCAACGCACTTGTTTTGATACGGATGAATTTTGTTAGTTTGTTTACAGAACAGGCTATCGGAGTCAACAGAGTTGGCTAATTGCTCGATAAGATCGTAGCGAACATTAAACATTTACTCGGTTTTGTCGTTAGCTCTCTTATAATTTTGTTTCTGATGAACCGCTCAGTGCCAGACTTAAAGGTGATTAAGTTGTGCTTTCTGGTGATGTTTTTTACAAAGTTCAACGCAGTGGTTCTCATCCAATTTTGATAATTTTATGTCCTCAAGCTGAAATATTTATTGCTTTAAACAAAAGTAGATGACCATGTTTTTTGATTCAATGTTTCTCTTTCGGACGTTTTTGAGTCAGTGTTTTCGATCTTCTTGATAAAAACCATTGTCTTGAACAGCCTCACCAGACCGTGGCGATATTTATCATTCAAAACGAAATATATGCACGGATTCACTGAAGGATTGGAATAAAAAATAATGTGGGCCGCGAAGGTAAAGTTTTCAGCGCCGCAGGGTATTTTCCAATCCCATACGAAATAATGTAAAATACCAATGACATTGAGTGGTATCGACGAAACCATGAAAGCAATGACAATTGCAGCGATGTTGTTCACAACTTTTCTGTCCTCCTTTATTCTTCTCAAAGTTCTACAGCTTGCAGGACCCCTGTTTCTCCTTATTGCGCTTCGTTTGAGATTCACGATGATGGCGCAATACAGCCATATGATTAAACACAGTGGTATATAAATTTCACAAGTTACCATTACAATGAAGTAGATTTCCACAGGTTTTTTCGCGTCGAATGTTGGCCCCCAATCGATAACACAATACACTTTCTTGTCACGTGTAAATGTGTGAAACACATAAAAGTAAACCACATGAATGCCCGCTGGAACTATCCAAATAAGTGGTAGGATAATTTTACAGCTTTTCGTCGGCTTTATATTCGTTTCACGTAATGGAAATACAATTCCTTTGTACCTGTCTATAGCTATGGCTAAAATGCTGAAAATTGACACTGCGGTTGAGACATCTTGAAAGAAAGACAAACTTTTGCATAGGATTGAGCCAAATATTCCGCCAAACAACCACCTCTCAGGTTCTAACATTGTGTAAGTTATGTGCCGGGGTGCAGCTACTAGCGTTGTCAATATGTCTGCGACAGCCATATTAGCAATTAGGTAATTGGTGACAGTTTGCATCTTCTTGTTCCTCTTAATAACACCAATGAGCAAGGAGTTTCCGATGACTGCTATGAGCAGAACGAGGCAATAAAAAAATATTTTGACTCCTTTGATGGCGGTTGTGTCGCCTAAGAACGGACAGTTGTAGGAGGTAAGTTCTCTCGTCGAAGTGGTGAGGTTGTCGGCACTCCTGTTTGAATAATTACTCATTGCTAGTAATTCAGTCTCGATGGATACGATAAACGCAGGTTCAGTCGTTTTCTAAGTCTTTTCAGTGTATCACAGATCAGCCAAAATAGAAACGGGAAAACTTCCACTCAGTTACTGTAAGTCTTTCGAACCATCGTCTGTTCCTTCTCTCTTGAATTACCAGTTAAGCCAAATTATCCTTGAATCCGGAAAATATCTGGATGAGTGCATGCATCAAAACAAAATTTTGAACTGAAAACTAATTGCAAGGGTGGGTGGCCACGACAAGAACCACGTGAAAGGTGACAACAATAGCAAGGAAAGTAAACCTTTTCTTTGTTTGTTTTGGAAGCGCAGCTGTGAAGATTTTTTGTTTTCCGGCCAGTTTAACAATTGAATAAATATTTTGCTATGACAGTGAAACATCCCGTGACGTGAGTGACTATTATGTGATTGACGTCTTGACGCCTTACATAAAGAGCCTAGGGGGTCTTAGAAACAAAGCGTCACGCAGCAAATAAGATAATGGTTTTGGCAATTTTTCAGCGCAGTAAGCGTTACCTTTTAAAATAAGCCTTCAACTAAGTAATGTAACTATAACTAACCTGCTGTAAAATGATTTTTGAGTGACAACCCGGGACATACAATAAAATCAAATTTTACCAATGGCATAAGTAGTTAAATAACCCAAATCAGTCTCAGGAATGACGTCCATCCGATCAAATAGCTGTCCAATATAATACCGCGGCATTGAAAAAACTTGCTTTTCCTTTTTCTTCTTTTTTTAATTTTTTTGAACATGGTATGACTAAACACAGAGAACCGCCAACAGAGTAGTCTTCAAGTTCACAGCAGCGTGCAAATCAAAATTAAAGACGTTTTTGACCGTCGACGAAAGTACCTTCAGGATTTATTACGGTAACCCGCTAGGAGTTTAATTTGATGTCGTCAAATTCAGGGAAGCCTTCTATAACAAACCAGCCTTGCTAAAAAATGCTAAAATGTAGTGGAGCAATAATTTTCATATATGCTATTCAGGGGGCACGTCAAATAATCTCACACAATATGGAAAATGACACATCTGCTGGTCAAAGTTGATGAACTGGAATAGCGGAAAAAGATAAATGAAATTCGCAGAGCAAGCACCTAAAACAGAGAGTGACTGACAGAAAGAGTAGCGTTTTACCTCTGCTCCACTGAATCCACTCTTTTGTTCAAATTTGCCAAAATACAGTCAGAAAAATCGTGTCACCGTTGAATGGAACACGGTTTTGAACTCCTAAGCAGTAAGCTGTTCTAGCCAATCAGAACTCGCGTTATATTGGCAATCTATATCAGCACTGTCTCCTTTAAAAAAAAGTCGCCTACAAAAATTGACCCCCCAAGATGATTTGGATACAATACATCAAAGAACTAATGGAGCACCTTATGGCTGTTTGAGCAGTTACGTTGACGAAAATTCAAAGAGGTCGCCGTAATTGATCTAAATATTTGCCAGCAATACGAGGCCATAAACTCATTTCAAGAATCTCAAAGTTTTGGCGGTACAAGCATGAATCGTTAAGTTCTCTGCCTCCTACATGGACGACCGTGAATACTTTAGGGCACAAGGAAAATAAAAAAATCCAAGTGCTGGAAAACATCGAGCTTCGCAGAATAGTAATCACTGAGCAGGCAGGCAGATCTAAGTCGCCTCTTTTTTGTGCCACGTCTCCTCACTGAATGGTAGCACAGTCAAGACATCAATCTTTTCTAGCGTTTCTTAACTCATGTTTTCTTTTCCTTTCTTTGTCTTTTTTTTTTTTTAATTTTATTTTTCGTGTTTTGAAAACACCTGAAATAATTTTGTAGCGCGCTCCGGATGGCCAAATATATTTCCTTAAGTAAGGCCGGAATGATATATGTTAAGAGATATTATGAGTACTTTAAAAACCGACATCCGAAAACCAAGCAGTATTACTGGAGCTCATGTGAATTCACAAAGGTGTGTTTTTCCTTTATTATTATTTTCCTATATTATTTACACTTTCATTGATAAACTTCTTCAAGGGAAAAAAAACCGTTGCTAGCAATCGGAGTCTTCCGCAAAGTAGCTAGCACTATTCACTATTTAATGTATTGAAAAGACAAAAATGCAATTCCCTTCACTGAACACCTTTTTTCATTAAGACCCGTTCTTAGTTAAAAAAAAAAAAAGAAAAGTACAACAAGGCTGTCCATAACCAATAGGTCCAGAAAATGTGAAGCCCTGATATATTTTGCAGCAATAGATACCACATTACAATTGGATTAAAAAGAAACACCTTACATCGTTTATTTTTTTAACTCTGTACCTCATTTAATTTCTTACCGGATTTGACTCAGGAAGCACTGCTAGTATATTTATTACACTCGTAATTAATCCGTTACGAAAAAATATCTTGGTGACGCGAAAAGCAACGACGACACTACAATAACTAGCTTTTTGTTAAATAACGTGTGTAATGATTTAAAGATGCACTCTTTTTTCTGTTACATGGTTCAAAGTTAGTTGAATACATCCACTCCGGTCAGCTCTCGAAAATTACCCTTAGATTGATATGAAGAGAAAATGCTAACGTGTGAAAAAGGTAATAATAGTATACGTGCACGCATCTATAGTTAAGCACTAATGCTTAGAGATGGCAGATATGACAGATGACTCAATATACATTTTATGCATTATGCTCCGAACATAAAAGTCTACTTATTCATTGAAAGCATTTTGACATTTGTTTGGTTGACCACCGGTAGAGATTCTGCATAAAATTAGCAAGAGTAGCCTATAAGAACCCAGAAGAAAGCTAATTACCTGTGATGCGGGCGGATGATCGCACATTTAACTTTTCTAATGCGGTTGCTTGTGATGATCTTCTCGTAGTCTCCGCCCTTTTCTCGACGATGTGAAGTTTCTTTAAAATGTTCACGAAACACCTGCGATATTTATCGTTCAAAGAAAGGTATATCCACGGATTCAAAGAAGCATTTGCATACAGAATATAGAGGGCTGCAAAACCAAAGTTTTCCATCCCGCAGGGCATTTTCCACTCCCACACGAAGTAAAACATAACTCCATATGTATTGATTGGAATCATGCATGCCATGAAAACAATAAGTACTACAATGATATTCCTCACGACCTTTGTGTCTTCTTTTAGTCTTTTCAAACCCAAAGGTCCTCTGCACTGAATAGTTCCGTTCTTTTTAAGATTGTGAATAATACGCAAATACAGAAATGTAATCACGCACGCTGGAAAAGCTACCAAACACACAAATATTATAATAAAATTCGTTTGCTGAGACTTTGGACTCCAGTATGGCGCGCAGATTGTTTCTCCTTTGTTTGTTACAATACGAAAAATATTGAAGTACACTGCGTGAAAAGACATCGCTACAATCCATATAAATGGTATAACGATTTTACAGAGTTTAGCGGGACTCATAAATTGTTTCTGGAAGGGAAACACGATTCCTCTGTACCTGTCAATGGTAATGACCACGAGACTGATAACTGAGACAGCAGTTGTGATGTCTTGTAAAAAGGAAACGCTTTTACAAAGAATGGAGCCCAACAATCCCTTCACCAACCATGATCGAGGGCCAAGCAATATTTCTGTTATCTGTCGTGGAACTACCAGTACTGTTATAACAATGTCTGAGACAGCCACATTGGCAATAAGATAACTCGTAATGGTCTGCATTCGTTTATTCATCTTGATTATGGCAACGAGCATCGAGTTTCCAATAATTGACATCAACAAAAGGATACAATAAAATAGAATTTTAACCCCTTTGATTGCGTTCGTGTCGCTTTGAAATGGTTTGCAGCAGTATGGGCTGAGTTGTGTTGCATTATAACACGTGAAGTTAATCATACTTCAAGATGAAAATAACTCCACTTCGAGGTTACCACCCAGGCAATGCCACAAAAACGGATGTTTTGTCGCCGGCATATAAAACTAAATCTTCCACTCTATGTTGTAGAGAAAAAAAATATATACACAGTTAGTACTCACTCTGTTAGCTGGTATAATTAATGTGATTCCTCCTTCTTCCTTTAACCCTTAGTACATTGGTATAACAAATGTGAGGTTTCTGAAATATTCCGCTCTGGTCTTGAATCTTCGCCAAAAGTCGCCTTCAGCCGCGGTTGTTATGTGGGTTCAGTGTTTTGTAATGCTTGCCCAATGTATTTACAGCGATATGCAGGTGATCAATTTGCTTCACATAATTATCTTGATCAATGACCAAAAGCTTGGGAAAATTTGTAATCAGCAGAGCAAAAAATCACCCGGCCTGAGCGAAACCTTAACTGATTGTGGTTTTCACTTCCAGAAATTTAATCGCAAAGTTCTTCTCAAAGAAAGGAATCAAAATATAAAAAAGCGATAATGAAAGCGAAAAACAATTCGAAGTTAAGTTGTTTTTGATATTCAACAGTATGCACTTATTATCTTTTCTCATTTAATTGAACTTACCATATAACCTCACTAATTTTTCGCTCTGGAAGTAAGCTTATCAAAAATATTGCTTCCCCTTTCTCGCTTGCCCTCTGTTTTTATAAGTTTCATTGATGTATTGAGTGCTTTAAAAATATATGACGATCGTTATATTTTGAGGACACCCTTGACAAAATACACGTGACATATTAATCGAATACTGCCTCTATAGTGATAAACGAGAGGGAAAAAAAGCTGGACATTCATCTCTCAGTAAGTAAGTTGTTTGTCGGAGGTAACCGTTTCTCAGACAGTGCCATTATTCTGTAGAATATTCCACTGGTGTGTTCTAGGAAGAAAAACTGCGATGGCAAGTGTAATCCATGATTACAAGGAACATTGTGTCTGTTTATAGTACGGATGTATCACGTGCTGTCGTTGGTTGAAAGAGCGCATTTTATCCGAGTATATAAAACACAGAGCTAAGCTAGAGCTGTCAGGCCATCTGCGAATTTGTACAACGTCTAACCATTACCCTGACTTCTCTCTAGCTTTTCTTTTGTTAATTGAAAGTGAAACTTCGGAACAAAGGTTTGAAAAGGTTCTCAGCGCCGTAATTGACGAAATTATAACATGGGCAGAGAAGAAAATCCCCAAAGAAGTGGGAAAAATATCATTCGTATTTTTTCCGCTTCCTGCGTGCTTTATAACAAAACAGAATGCATTCAAGGCATCTTTATTTGTAAAATATACCGCGTGGCAAGTTTTGAGGTTCTCAAAATGTCCTCAACCGCAAAAACAACGTTATTATCCTCCCCCCCTCCTGACAAAGGACAAATTCAAAATAAAAACGTTCCCTTACTTGTTGATATTATGCTACTTGAACAAAACATAATAAAATTTCTGTCACCTCCAGCCAGAATGGAAACAGCGTCTGTTGCATGAGAAAAGCCTCTTCCTGTTAAGGATGATTGGAAAACTGAGCGGACGAGGAGAAAGATCGCCGTTTGAGATCGTATTACCTGCTAAGCTGGAAATAAAGTCTTCTGATTAGTTTGCTAAATAAAGCCTTTGGTGGTGCTTAGGTCGGTAATCAAATCCGCAACATTAATATATTTATTATTGAAAAGTTTTCCCCTTTCTATGCTAATGCAGCAAAATGTCTGGTACCGTAAAGAAATCACTCTTAAAGAATGTCACAACAATTAATGGGTGCTGGAAACTTACATAAATTTACGGTCAGTTTGCAGGCTTCACTTTTTGCGAATTTGGTGCATTTAGGGTGCTTAAGAAGCTGTTGCCAAGGAAACACACCTGCTGTGAATCTGTCAAGTTAACTGATACTTAACATATTTTCTGAATGGATAGTGCAACTGCAATGACTAGAAAAAAAGTAATAAACTTTCGTATAATTCCCATGGTAATTGAACCTGAAATGAAATCTTCCGAACGTTGGACATTGCATTTCTTGAATACTTCCCTAAGATAATTTGGAAATGGTTTAAATTCTCTGGACACAAAGTGGTTACCAGATGTCCGGAGAACAATTATTTCTTTAGAAGGTAACAATGAATGGGCTTTAAATGTCGCGTAGAAGACGAAAATTGAACAGGGTGAGTAAATAACAAAGGAATATATCGTGTTATTTATTCCGTATGATAATAGATGTACCTGTGATAATTTTAGTACACCTACTTGGAGAAAAACTAGCACATTCACACGGTTCAAAACTTATGTACAATACGTTCATGGGATTTGAGCCACGTATTCGTGGACATGGAACCGATGTTTACCAACTCTTCTTCCGTTGAAGCAAAGTCTTCGATGTGTGTTGATTGTCTGTCGACGCAAATAGGATTGATTGACTTGCTCATACAAGTAAAATCGCACGTTTTCAAACCCACATACTACAAAGGAAGAAGCGAGAGGGAAAAAAAGCCAAAAAAGGAAAAAAAAGGGAGATCACGCGTGGCCGAGTGGTTATATTTCTGCTTAATTCTCTCCTTCCATCTGGTTTTCATTTTCCGAGCTCGAATTTATTGCTCGAAAGTTGGTATGATAAACCGAGATCACATCGTCTTCCTGTTTATTAGAAAGTGGACTGACACGAGGCTTCGACCGATTTCAATCTTCTTCCCTTTCCTCCTGCTAAATTACGTCATGCTGTTTTTAAAGCATCCGTTGTATTGTTTGGGATATAAATCATTCCAGGTTTGTGGCGTCTCATAATTAGTAAAGTGAATTAAAATGAGTAACGAGTCCCGGTCACAGTGACATAGTAATCTAACTCCTTACATAGTGACTACGTTCATGCCACTTTGACACGGTTTGCAGCAGTTTTGACGGACTTGTGATGCATTATCACGCTGAAGTTAACATAACAGAATAAGAAAGATATCGTTAGACTTGTGCATCCAATAACCTTCCAAAGTCGCTACAAACGAATAAAATGCAAAGCAGGTTTTGTTTCTCGAACACCAGCGGAAGCATCTGCAGAATAGTAGAGCGCTGTCTCCCACATAGGGCCTAATTACATTGCGGGGAAACACGCTAATTTTCGACAAACAACCTACGAATTGTCTGATGAATATCTAATCATTTTGTTTGGACTCCCACAATGTAACATGATTTTCACTTCAAAGGCAGCTAATTTGACGTGCTGGTTTCTTTTTCCTTTATTATATTATTATTATTATGATTTTAATTCTATTCTAATATTTTTGATCTTTACCACACAGTTTTGTGTGTACTCTTCTTTGAGGTTAAGCTCACGATTTACAGACTGATATGCGGTGAAAACCACTATCAGTTAGGGTTCACGTGCAAGAGATCTTTCTACCAAATACATTAGAAACTAGAGATTAGAAGCTGTTTATAATCTCTTGTAGGAAACCAAAATAAGTTACTTTCGTCCTCATCAAAGATAATTATGCAATGCAGCTCAGCTACACATCTCTTTCAAAAACACGGTCGGCAGGCATAGCAAAACTTAAAACTTATTTAAGAAACGTGTCTGTCGGCGACTTTAATGAAAGATTAAAAACAGAGGAAAACATATTTGT